CCTCCTCCAGTCCAGATTTGAATCCGTTAGATTACAAGATATGGCAACACTTGGAGGAAAAGGCGTGCTCAAAGCCTCATCCCAATTTGGAGTCACTCAAGACATCCTTGATTAAGGCAGCCGCCGATATTGACATGGACCTCTTTCGTGCTGCGATAGACGACTGGCCGCGCAGATTGAAGGCCTGTATTCAAAATCACAGAGGTCATTTTGAATAAACTTTAGTGTCATAAGAATCTATGTTTTGTTAAGTTCATTTTGCTATATAAATGGTTACATAATGAATAAACTTGTTTCAATTATTTTATATTAAACGTGACAGAATTTATGACCTGACTAGGTATAGTATACTCACCCTCACCGTTCTGTTCCTCGTGCTGACGCAATGTTGCCCTCTTCTGCTCACACACTGCTCTCTACTCGCGCAATTAATCGTGACGCCCTGCCAATGTTACATACCATCTCAAAATTTTCCAAATCCGTAGATTGGCATAAAAATTTCCGTAGAATTCCGTAGATGCTATTTCAAGATATGCGTAGATCGGCAGACTTCCTAAAAAGATCGAACGTTTTTGTTTTTGTCATAGAATAGATAAATTTTTGGAGAAATTCTTTCTATCATGTAAAATTCTTCTGTTAAGTTCAATTGTAGTATAACATCGAATCTAGTTGCACATAATATAAGAAAAAAGTACCATAAATTTATTAAAAATTAATTGTACTCTTGTAATTAAATTATTTTTAGTAAAAACCAAAAAATAAATAAAAAAGACATTACAAACTTGATGCTGGAAAATTTTGAAACAATATTTAGACGAATGAAAAACAACGGACTATTTTCACTAAAATTAACATAGATAATTTTGTCTGGTTAGTTTATTTGATAAATTACGAGTACATGATATCAATTGTTAAAATTTTCGATTGTCGGTTGTCGGCTAAGTTCACACTCGTGATAGAAAAATGAGTTTTTTTTAAACATAATTATTTTTAAAAGGCTGTGAAGTACAAAAATTTAATTAACATGGAAATCAACATTCCGTAGATTTCAACTTAAATTTCGTAGTTGATGAAAAAATTCCGCAGATTTACGGAAAAATATCGCTTGCGTGACACAATGTTGTTGAAGCTGTGGCAGCATGCGCGCTATATGCATATTTATTATAGCTAATTATATCAATGACATAAAAAAGAAATATACATCGTCGTCCTCGCTAACGGAGATGGTGGATGGGCATGACAAGAAACATGACGTGCGGCATGATGAGTATTGTAGCCACACTACGTCTCTGCCTTTCCACGCTACTTACCACTTACTACATACCACTCGACGAGTGTGTGGCCGGGGGTGGGGGGTGGGGGGGAGGTGAAATAGGGTGTTACAGCTTGTATGATAAATATAAAAAGGTACTTCAATTTTCGTGTCGACGTCTTAATATCATATTGCAGTTTGCACCCGAGTGGGTGTAGTGTTTTGATTAATATAAATTCAGAAACGTGATATTTACTACACGAGACGAGCTCTGTGATAGTTTTAAATCAGAGTTGAAATAGTGCCAAAATCTCTGACGATATAAATTCCTGAGACTAACATCATATTTATTTATGTATATATACCTAATAACAAATTATATTTTCTTAAAACTTAAAGGATATAGGTAAAATAAAAACGCCAAAATTATACCTTATAAAATTATTTTCCATTTTAGAATATTATCCTAAATTAAGTACATTATAGTATAATTTTAATTTAAAAATAACAACTATTAAGTATTTATTATGTATTCTCATTTATAAGTAGGTAATACATAAATAATTGTGCTTAATTACTGTGAATGAAATGCACTAAAATGGACAGGTCAGTACACGATGGCACTGAAGTTTCTATACAACTGTTTTGATGATATGTGTTATAATACATTAATATATTCTTTCATATATAAACTCTACAATACATAGTCTATATAAGGCAAGATGGCCGCGTCTATGGCTAACACTATTTAATGTTTTATTTGGTATGCATTAACTATTTTACCCTACTTAAAATTATAAAGTTTACTGTGTATATTTTAATATAATATTAGACCGAATCACAATTCAAACCTTAGACGGCAAGATGACGTGATAAGAGATTCGATTCGGTCGATAAATATTCAACAATTTTTATTATTTTTCCACATAATAAATAGTTATCAACATGAAGATTTACAAATATCAACAAAATAAATTATGAATAACAGAAAATTACATTAATATTAGCCTTACGACCTACGCTTCAGTGATCCTTAATCGGTCTAGTGCCCTTAACTTGTACTACAAAGCCGGCCACGTCCGTGATAGTTCCTATCCTCCTAGACAAACCGTTGTGCCACCCACCAGCTGCTCAAGTCTCCCACTACTATCAATAAGTTTTAAAATATATGTCACTAAACTGGAAATTGGCTTATTAAAACCAAATTATCGAAGTCCGATTGTAACAATGAAAATAAGCCATTGTAATAATGATCACAACTATATAGGTGTTAACAATTACTTAGTAATTTAGAGTGGTTCGGTACGTTCTATAAGTTAGTAATAACGCTGCATGATTTCGGAACGGCCGGCGGAAGTCTAAATTCATTATCATTAAAATTATATGGACTAGTAATTGAATTAAACTACCTAGTAAGTACCCTATACCGCTTTGGAGAACAAATTTAAACTTCTAAGGGCGTATATTACATAAAAAGTGTTTTATAGCGATAAAAGTAAGTATATTTATTCATAATTATTACATTAATCAATTAGCTTTTTATTGCTCTCCTTCTTAACTTAAGCTAAACCACAAGTCCTTCCTTAAGACGTATTGAGCAATATGGACATGTTAATACCGAATTGATTGGCTACATTTACACAGCGCAACATGAATCAAAATGTGTCCTAATGTTTGCCACATTTATTATCGCTGAATTAATCAACTTCAAAGTCCTCAAGATTATTCAAATAAAATATTCTCATGTGGTTAATTGTAAAATGCTGTAACAATTAGCAAAACGTTTTCCCGAAAACATTTCGCTACTTGCTAATTTTGCTTTAATTACATAGGTATATTTAACGTGCGATGTAACGAATATGTTTCTACTGCATAAATAACTTACACATATTTTGTTTTTGAATAATGCGTTACTAGATATGTATGTACATTTAATTATCTACTTCATTCGATGATTAGTGATTCGTACTTAAGTAATATAAAAATAATATGATCGGGACCGTATCATCGGACCTTTGACTTGTAGAGCCATTGTGACTATTTCGAAAAAAAAAACAACAAAAACGGTTAACGGTTAAATATTGCGTTTAATACCTTCTAAAAATACAGTCGATTTTTATTTAAATTTTACGACTGAATATTTTAATTAGGGTATATTCAAAATTTTAATAATAAAAATAAGTATTTGAGAATTCTCAGTGAACGCTGCTTTATTATGCAACTTATTGAATATTATTTTTATAAATGACATTGATACAAAAAATTTATTTAAAAAGAAAACGACCAGTTGTCATTGGATCTGGTTACATTTTATTTTAGACACTGTGAAAGTGTTGTCTTTTGATAAAAAAAAATCGACGACATTGTTTTACTTACCTCGCAAAATTTTGTTACATCATTTAGGAAATGCATACGATTTGAAAAACTCACACTTTTGAAGTTCGTTAAAAAAACAGGTCAGTACGATTGTGTGCTCTGGTAGGATCGTCGTTAAGTAGAATTGTTTATCGATGAGAATCATTCTGCTCCTGCGTTACGATTTTATAATAATATTTTGTTACCTCAAATAAGGTATTAATTTTAAAAGATATCATCGATATATACGATCTTGATGCATTTAATACAATACAAAGAAACCAAACGTCAACCGACATAGAGAAACCAACCACGATTCCCACCATAGCCGCTAACCGCGCTGCAACCCTTTGTTTAAAAATAAGTATGTTAAGTTCAACGTGAATTTAAATATTTTTTTCTTTGATTTATTGTCGCTTGACAGCTTCCATCTTCAAATTATTTTTATTTAATTTTTTATTTTAAGGAGAGCGACATAATATGCTTAGTATATACATATGACATGTTGTAAATACATTAATTACTATAATTATTAGAAAAACTATATATGATTACAGGAAGGTGAGATATTGAGGCAAGAGCTTTGTTTAACATAGCTAACTATTACCTAATATATTTAAACTTTAGGTACACTACATAATATTATGTACCTCCTATAATAAGCATATATGTCCACTAACTTTTTGTTTTGTTGATAATCGATTATTTCCATAATCGATTATCGATAATATCGACAATTATCGATATCCATTTCATTTATTTGAAACCTACAAAACCATATAAGTACAAATTGGACCAAAAGACTACAAATTGAAAACACTTTAATTCTTACTTATGGACCAATTTACAGCACATGAGTAAATTTACAGTCTGTTGGTCCAAACTTGTATACTATGGTTTTATAGGATTTGGATTAATGAATGATTATCGCGATTTATATCAACATTATTACTAAGTCTAACCCATCACCGTTAACAGTATCTTAATGATATTTAAGTACCCAAAAGTTGTTTTCTATGTTTGGTATAAGCTCACAGCTTTGGTCATTTAAGTTTTTTTTTTGGTTTTAACATGTTACGATAGTCCAAAACGTACTTATTTCATCAAACACATTTTCATACGCTTAATTTGGTTTCGCTGTGGTAACAATTTTTACATCCTTCTCGACAGTTTAGACTGAAACTTCGTCACAATAATCTTAATAAATAATTTTACAATTTTATACGCAAGTAAAATTATTTACAGTTGTCATTATATTCTTCAAAGAAAGCTCAAATCCATTTTAGGTCGTAGCTACATTAGTGAGTTTGAAATTGGTTATTGGAACTATGTACCGATTTAATTGTTCTAACGTTCAGTTATAATGTAGCCACTGAGCTTGTTGTATATAATTTCATTGCATTCGCGCCTCTTGGAGCTGAGGTGGATATGGAAGATGTGGCAGCAGTGGCGCTTGAACCCCTCCACCTGGCAACGCGTAGTAAGGTGATACATATCCAGCGCCGCTAGCTGCTGCCGCCGCAGCTGCTGGAAACAATTAACATTATTATTTAAAAGGACTATTTATATATAAACGACTTTTCACAAGTCATATTAAAAATATATTAAGTGCTGATACCATCTGACGAGTTTTGAGGATCAATTTGCTAGCGTCTATCTTTCCATTCTATTACAATCTTATATAATAGTTAAAATACCCACACATCTATATTGTTACCGAGTGTGTCAGTCGATCAAGAGGTCTTATAAAATCTTGTAGCATCCTGACAAACTCAATAATTTAGCCTAGATAGGTAAATAGAAACTACTAACCCAGGTCGACTCCTAGGGAGAAACGGTATCTTTACCGTCTTTTAAAATCACAAATTTTAGAAAGATCTATTCCCAGCACTGAATGTTACAAGCTTACAAATTAATAACGATGACTACGATGTGTCAATGAAAATTGCCTGATAATAAGCTTATAGTTTCTTTTAATAGACATATTTTAATATAGAATAAGGGTGACAAACGAACACAGTCCACCTTATGGTAAGTGGATGCTGTATCCCATAGACATCTACATTTATCTTGCGTTATGAATCAAAATGAAGATACGTTGTCACCCCTGAGGACTAAGATGGAATGCGTCGTTTCCAGTAAAAAGGGTCTCCGGTTTTCTACGCTTACCGAACGAAATACAGCACTATTAATCTGTTATTTTACCCTGGTATTCTGTGAGATCATGGTCATACTCCGGTCGAGCCGATGCATTCGCACTATAACCATAATAAATATGTCTGCAGTGCGGCTTACCACGTTTGAATAAGTATAAAAATATAGTACGTGGCAGACAATTTTATAAAAACTGGTGGTCGACGAGTGGTCGACATTCCACAGTAATACAATTTTTAAGTTTCTTTATTAAGCAAGCTGTATTTCACCCTCAACGTTGACATAAATACAGGGTTATTTTGCAATAACCGACCAAATTCGCAGTGAAGTTTCAGAATAAGTAATATAGGCAAATGGTGAAGAAAAATTTATTTAAAAAAAATGTCAAACATTTTGTACTTTTTACCTTTTAAATTCAAAATGCGTGGTAATTAATTATTTCAACTGATTTTACTGCGCACGCACACATTCGTAAGGTTCATTCAATTTGAGGTAATCTATATTTATACAAATAAATAAAATTGAAATGTTTGTATGTATGTATTGTCAAAATAACAACTTTTCACTGAATGCATGTGAAAGTTTATACGGTACTTATAACAAAAACACATTTTTTTAAATTCCATCTTAATTCTCACGGGTGACAACGCATCTGCATTTGGATTCGTAAACGAGATGATAGATGTCTATGGGCCACAACAACCACTTACCATCAGGTGGACTGTGTGCTCGTTTGTCACCCTATCCTATAAAAAAAATGGCTGGACCGAATTTGAAGGGATTTTAACTGTCAGATAGCTGATTTTATAAGGTTAAGTACTTTAGGCTACTTTTATTTTAGAAAAATAATTTCATTTCCGCGCTAAAAAATACGAAAAAACAGGCGGGTGAATTCGCGGGCAACAGCTAGTTTCAAATAAAAGTAGAAGCCTTATTTACTCGTATTTTCAAAAACTGCAATAACGATATATCATTATTTATATAGGTATTTCAACTTAAATTTGAAATTTGGCTACTCTGAAAAATAACCCTGTAGGTATATTGTATCTATGTTTTTTTTTAAATTCTTTGGCGACAATCTCTACTATATGAGACTGTTTGACCACAAGCTATGATGTGTTTGACGTTGGAAGTAGGAAAGTAAACAATAATGTATGTTTTTTTTAATATATTTGTAGCACATATTGTACATATATAAATGTTTGCATTCTGCACTCCTCCATATTATACTCAGTGCGCGCAGTATGCTATAAAAGGGGTACAACTTTTCTCTTCACGTATTCATTTTATAAAATATCATCTCTCATAGCTATTAAAAAGTTTGCAATTACTGTTTTTATATTTTTTAAAGAAGTAAAGGTGTCAAACGAGGACTCAGTCCACCGGAGGATGCGTGTTTGCTGTGGCCCATATCTACAACTATCATTGAGTAAGAATTAAAATGAGAATGCGTTGTCACCTCGTAAGACTAAGATGGAACGCCTCTTTAGCAGTATAAAGGGTCTGCGGTTCTCCACACTCATCATCATCAATCATACAGAACACAGTGGTATTATGGTGCTATTTTACGCTGGTATTTTGTACAAGCGAGTTCTTTCCGCGGTCGGGCCGACCCATTTAGTGCAACTAACTCTATTGCATATATTTTAGACCAATGACTGAAAAATAAAAATCTCATTCAAACCAACTGTGCATAAGCGTGCACTTTTTTGATTTCAGTTATGTTTTTGAAGAAGGGTTAAAAACCTTAGTGTTTTAGCTTTCTATTACTTGTTATGGAAAAATTCATACCTGCGGCGGTAGCATATGGGTCAAATCCAGCAGCAGCGTACTGTTGCTGGTAGGCTGCGGCGCCTTGCGCAGCGGCCGCTTGATATTCGTACAAATGATTGGCCGCTGCAACAGCTGCAGCATGCTGGAGCTGTGGCAACTGGACCAGACCACCAGCTCCAGTGCCAACTCCTGCCCCAACCCCTCCTACAGCGTACCCTGGCGCTCCATACATGTAGCCAGGGGACAACCTGCCAATTCAATGAAGCAGTTAAAACCAATTACATATTCTTGCACATTTAAAGCCACCCACGTGACGACCCTTCACACGAATCATCGGCTAATTAAAAACAAAACTACAAAGTGTGAAAGGCCATCATTGAAAAATTAAACACTTTATCAATCTGTCATCACACTCTACCTAACCCCATTTTAGCCTTGTCAGGCACGAGCAGCTTGTCTGGTTATGTTAGTAGACATCGATAAACATTACGTATTATGTGAGTATGCGACTAGTCGTACTCTGTATGCTGTCGCCGCAGATGGACCGCCACCGTGCGTCATTGCCAGGAAAATTTAAAAAAAGAACCCTGATAGAAATGTCGGTCGGGCGGCAACATTCGCGCCGCGGCAACCAAAATATCCGAATCTAGTATTTTTCTTTTTTTTACTTATCATGATGCGAGGTTTCATTGAAATGAAAAAAAAAACCGCCGAGGTAGATTAATTAGCACGATTTAAAGTAAAATGTAAATACTTATAAAATTTTGTATTGATAGTTTACTACAATATATTTAAACACCTACAAAATACGCTACAAACGCTTGTCACGAGTATTATAATAGGTAAAAGCTATAAGTTACGATATAAGATATTTTTATTATAGTTTTTAAAATTGTGTGTAATAAAATATTGTATATTATGTTATGTAGATAAATTATGAAAAAAATTAACCTATCGGTTAATTTATCGTCTTAGACACAATGTTACCGGAATAAATTGAAAATCGCAAACATAATATTACTTTTTAATTTTTGTACGTATTTGTTAAAAAAAATACAGAATTCTAACTGACTGAGGTTTCTTTAAAAAAAAAAAGAAAACATTTTCAAAAGACATATTTCAGACATGTAGGTCAAAATATAAAAATAAATAGATTTCATGATCTAGCTTTCGTTTACGCATGCAATTTATTTGAAATTTGTAAATACTTCGTATAAGATTAAATTTTATTTCACTTGGGATAAATTAAACTCTCTTAGGCATATTAACAAATTTAGTTCAAACAATCGTGTAAATCACGAAATTTGTCGACTTCGCTCAATTCGCATCATAGGCAAACGCCAGGCGGTCAAGTTTGTTAAAGAAGTGCACTCAGGAACTCGCCGCATCAGCTTTTCCGGAGAGCACTCGGCCTGCGACCACGGTGTAATTCTAAACAATTTCCGGAGCGTCTGTCTTTTTTAACTACATAGCGATCGAAAGAGACAGATTCTTTGACATTCGAGATTTACTTTCGATATATTAGCTTGGTACAGGCTCTAGAGCTCAAAGCGCATGCGTGGAACACGCCTGCCTTCAAGCTCCGCCCGCCTACTACGCCCACCTGTGGTCTGCTAATTCTATTAGCATGTTGTGCAATACCTACATCATGATATTATCAAAAAAATAGGTATGTAACTAAGCCTGGGACGTTTCGTCAAACTTAGTCTTGTCTAGTACAACAAAAAGGTGTCTCAAAGTTAAAAAGAAGATTTGAAGAAATATCATTCAAAACACGCGTAAAGAGCATTAAAAAACTGGCGGAACATCACACAAGCTGCCACATCTACATAGGTACAGACAAATATTAACTAAAATTTATTTAAAATCACATCTATCATTATTCAATACTGTTAGATGTCTAAGATTCAATTTTTAGTTTCAATAAATACTTACAATATCAGTTACTTACATGCACTTAATACGAAGAGAATATCTCGGGAAAACGTTGGCAACACCTACATAAAAACGCGAAGGGCCAACCAACACATACTACACCTACAGTTTTATTACTGTGATTAAAACAGAAGAATGATTAATCGAATGAAGCTTTCACATGATTGGGTTTCATTTGACTAGAATTAGGTTGAATAAATAATAATTGTATTGGTTCGGGCGTTACTGTGGCATTGGGCTGAACATCGATCCACTGTTGATATAATTTGTCAGCGAAGTGAAAGGAAAATTCCACCAATTTGTTGTACGTCAAATGATAGAATCTGAGAGTAAGGTGACTATTATTATTCAATCGAGGCAACAGTTAAAGCTACTCCTCATTCTATAATTTGGGTCACTGATTAACGCAGCGTAACGAAACACCCCACGTAACATGTGACGCGCTCACAGAAACTAATCACCGGTTAATCTAAACGTAATTTTGATTTGGCATTTCTTAAAAATAATCAGATTAAATAACGTTATATAATGCTTAATTTAATTAATTTAGTATCAGAAACATTGAAAGCAAGTTTGAACGATGGCGCGCCACAAGCTGCTAAGGAAATTTGGTTACACACTAAAAATTTAGTAAGTGTATTAAACGAAATCCACCACCAACAAAAATCATTTCAAATCAACAAAATCTTACACGATCACGGCATATAAAACATAAATAAAAGTAAGAAAACATTGAGTGTCGATGCGAACCGTGTGACGGCGATGGGCGGCGCCCGCGAGGGACCAGCACGTCAGCGCCGGCGCCGCCCATGCTTCATTATAGCTTTATAAAACGTAAACATTAAAAACCCAATCGACTAATTCACACCCAAAACGAAAAAAATCCACTCTCACGCTCACGCTTGCCATAGATACCTATGTGAAAATGTTTGATAATATAGATTAGGTGAAGTCCGCCGGCCGCTGCGCCGCTGACAGTCCGGAGATGCCGCTCGCCTCATCTACCGAGACAAAAGTCAGCTCAACATACGTGTCTAAGACTTACTGACCCTATCCATAGCTTATATTACTTACCAGCGACTGATCCTTACTTTAGCGAAGACGATTAAGTTACTAATAAACCTAAAATATACATGTAAATCTCGTAACATTGTGTAAAATTATATTTTCCACTCAATAATGATACTAACATATACTGTTAAGATATTTGTATAATTGTGGCCCTATTTTCATGTAAAACTATCTTAGAAATAGCTAAATCAATAATTCTAAGTCTGATTTTTGTCTCGTGAGATGTGTAAGAGTGGCACGGCGTCGCTTGTGCTGGTAAATCGGAAGTGTTGTACCATTTAACATTGAATAAAATGAGTTAAAATCTGTTGAATATTATTTTACTCACCCATATGGGGACGGTAAAACAGTGGGGTAGCCGGCTCGTACACCCGCCGCCGCCGCCGCTGCCAAGCCAAAACCTGCGACAAACACAACCATATCACATCAGCGCTCATCCAAAAATGAGGTGACAACGGAAATATTAAAGGAATTCCACGAAAAAATATCTCTCAGCATCCGCGCATCCAGTGTCTATTTTCGGTCTCACTTAACGGAAGCGGCTAGTCTCCAAAAGAAATATCATAGCGTGATTGGACTACTTCCAAATGACACAAGAATCAACTTAGCGCTGGCAACGTTAGAATGTTAATTTCTTTTTATTGGATTGTTAAGTCGCGCGAGGCGCTTCTATTTCGGTCGCTCGCCGCCCGCCCGGGCACTGGCATCCAGGGACATGCCTCTTGACAAGAAGACGACAAACCCTGGCTATAAATGGCGTTCAGTCGTTAACACCGGTGGTTCGAATACGAGTAGGTACATAGAAGACGTATCCTTATCATGCAACTATAAACATTTGCAAATATTGTCGTTGAAAACTAAGTATTAAACAGTCATGCGATGTCGCGTTTTAAGGAAATCTGCAATTTCCACAATAGTTATGTGTTACAAGCATAAAAAATTGATTAACAAGTACTGATCAAAGAGCGTGACCTCTTCTGAATTTAAACCGCCTCGGCCATTATGCATGGTGAAATTCTACCGGTGATTACAACAGATCACATCCGGAATTACTCCGGATGGTGTCGCGCTTCGACTGCCATAGTAAATACATGGAAGGCCATCACACATATAGTGGTGTCACCACAGCTAAGTCCTTCTTCGTGAGTGATAATTACATATCTACGTAGCATACCCATTTTTAAGCGATCCTCTATAAATTGTCACCTATCTGAAGCTTTTTTTAATTACTTATTGTACCTAATGGCACTTGCCGATCAAACTCGTTTCTAGTTAGGTAATGACAAATGAAAATTAAAGTGGTATTGAGTGACTGTGTCATTAATACTTTTTTATTATTACACTGTGTTTAAAATAAAACTAAAATCTAGGTATATTTTAATCGGTGCCGACGACTTCGGATCGAACCCAGTTTTCTTGCATATTGTGAATTTAACAGCAAACGCTTAACCTCGATCTACATATACCACGTGCTTAGTGTTACAGGAAAATCTCGTAAGGAAACTACTAATTGCTCCTTAACCCTCTCAGAAATTAGAGGTGGCATGTGCCCAGCAGTGGGATGGATAAATGCTGTAAATTTATGATCTAGCATTTTCGCATTTAAAATATGGTATTATCGCAAGTGATGCGTTCTGTATTCAAATACATGTCGAACTGTTTGTTATATGCATTATATTACTGAAATTACTTATACAAAGACAAATTATAACATAAAACTGTTTTAGTTTTGTAAAATATGTCTACTTCAATATAATCCCCATAATTAAGATAATGAGGACGTCACAACCGCAAAGAATCCCCAGAATTAAAAGGGTTTAATTCTGTCGCGTGCAACAAATGCGCGAGCTATGTCCCCTCTGTTCGATCGATGGCATACCATTTGACGGCCGAGGTCGAACCACTGTCCACTATAAAGCTTATCTGATTCATTAAATTTTTCCTCTTTAATACCCATTGTAGTTCGGCCTAAATGCGACGCTCTTTTGTTAGTTTGACCCAGTTTATACAGTCGAAATCGATTGTTGATGTCATATCAATTGATTTAACATAAAATAAACAAAAAAAAAGTATTGTGGTTTATTATTGTTAATAAAAAATGTGAGTTGATGATTTGCTGTGAGTTGTGTCGTTAAAATATCAATTTTTTTTTAATATTTTTGCGTAGTTACAGGATAAGTTCTGGAGTCCGGGTCGTCGAACTGCTAAGCCGACTCAGGGTGCTTAACATCGCTTGTAAGGATTCTACGGAAATACGATTTTAGATGCAGGAGGAATGAGCGAGACGGTATCATATACCTACGTGTTTAACAACTCGTCGGTTATCTTTAATTATACAATGTATATTACCTATATTAATATGTGAAGAGAAAACTTTGTACCCCTTTTAAAGCATATTGCTCGCCCGGATGAGTGAGATTTGGCCTAATTAAAGTTTATATATATTATATAATATATTACAACTACATTAAATTAAAAAAAAAACTTCCATTGCTTACGTGAAGTTTTTTTTTTAATTTTAGGAGGTTGATACTGTCAATGTCAATTGTCAAACATAATAGGTCTAGTCCCACAAAGTACAGATTGTCGCCAAAGAATTTTAATATGTTGCCAAGAAAATAATTACTGACAGATTGACTGAATGTACTGTGAATTTTGTGCGATTTTTAAAGTTCCCTTTTAAATAGTCTGTGGAGTGTAATGTCAAGGCAAAAAAGCGTTTATTGTATATTTTGTATTTGTATATTAAATATCTGTTTTTTTTTTTAACATATTGAAAGTGAATTGCAGCTCACCTACTTACAAACTAAAAATCTAATGAATTGCGTTGAAATTTTGAACACTGGACGACTAGTATTTATAATTATGCGATATAACAACGTTATAACTAACTTTAACAAAGACCATATAGGTAACTCTCTTTATTTTAACTTATTTAAGGGAAGAATCTTAATTCCGCACATTTACGTGCATTGAACGATACTGACAGATATGTATTTTAGGATTGTCTAGCAAACGTTAATCCGTTAACGAGCTCATGTTACTGCAACTGTGCAACTGTTTCTGAAATTCGTCGAATATTGGTAATTAACGTATGTACAAAAACAAGCTCGCTTTGTTCACAACATTGTAGCATCATGTCGTGCAAATTTACTGGTGCAAGAATAGATTCCAAGGAGTCGTGGCCCAGTTTTATATGACCACGATATACATCAGTCTCACGGCCATGTTAGTTAGGCATGTCCGGCTTTACTTTAGATCTGACCAACAACCGTCAATCTGCCATCTGCTATACATCGTTGGCCAAGTTCGGTAACCAGATTCATTAATAACTTCCATCCGTCACAGTTCCCGCGACATATATTTTTAGAGTCAACACGTGCGGGGGCGCAATCGTTTTTAAACCATTTCAAATAAAATAAAATCATCCATGGAATTATATTTTTATATTTAAAAGTTAAAGATTGTACGATCGACCGATGTAAAAGATATGAAAGATCTATCGTATCTATCATATATTTATTCTATCATCACAGAATAAATAATAGTGAATAATAGACATAATAGTTCAATGATAGTATTACGTATAGGTACGTACTATGGTGCATAATATACATACGCGTACGCTATATAGGCTCCTCCTCCTACAAAGACAAAATGGCAAGAAAATACCGATGAGGTTTTGGCGCGAGGCCAGTGTCGGTGTCGCGAGAGAAGCGGCTGCGACGACGTTCCCAAAACTGCGTATATTTAGACAAAATAAAGAGCACGCCGAAGACAAAACGAGACGCAAGTCTGTTTTATAAATAACCAAATCGTTCGCCAGTCCGACTCGGCCGCGCTCGACCAACCTCTGTTCGCCAGCTGTTGTACATAAATAATAATTAAGACATGAAGAAAGCTATTGCCTTTAGCTTCGATCTAGTCTAGTTACCGTAAAGATATTAAAAATATATATATAACAACAAGCAAATAATCTAATATGATCACAAAAATCACAAATAGACTACTGAAAAATAAACAACGAATAATGCTTATCATACAACCAAAAGTACAAAATTACGTATCGCGTAAAAATATTAATGCAGCAAAAATGTAGGTCCCGAATGTTGACACTGAAGGAAACTTTTCTAAAGGTTACAGTTTATAAATTAATTCACATTGCCACTAGGCAGTGATATTGTAAAATCATTACATGGCTTCACACGGAAGCCGAGATCACGTTACACTTAAACGTGAGGAGGGGAGACAACCCCCATAGTGAAGAATATATTGTGCCTACTTCCTGTATTAAAAAAATAACTTTATCACCTGATTATAAAATCGATGACATGAAGGATTCAAGGATCATTTGTATTTTTGACTAGTTGCATTTACACTTAGATAAACTTAGTCTTAATTACTTTATTACATCTCATTAAAACACTTATAACTTCTAAAGGGAGGACACGCGACACTTTTCTCCAAATAAACATTCTTCGCACGCGGTGCGCCTGAATAACTGAGAAGAGGCTCCGATAACCAACTGATTGCGGAAAATCTATCTAGAATTGTCTAAATTCCCACAGACAAATAATGAGGAGCTTCATTACCAGTGTGTATCGGCTTAGGCAGGTGAGACAGACATGGCGTGGTGGATATAGAGCAACTACGTTAAATTGTGTTTTCTATAATTTGCTTGGTGACATTTTTGCAAAGGCTCAGCAAGGAGCTTGCATTAGTTCAGAAACCAATGACAACTCGAGTTCAATCAAATCAAGCAGTTGCAGTCAGAGGCGGGGTTAGCACACCCCCATGATGATTGTTAACAATACCAAATCATAAACCATCATCATCCTCATCCTCATCTTCATTGGCTTTCCCTTTCTATTTAAATCTAGTCCTAAAAGGCCGCGAGCTCTGTGTCAGATACAGCTGTGAGAGCCGCATAGGCTAACAGCACCAACATCTCGAAAATAGATGATCAAATCAAGTGAGGAAATACGTTTGTGTACGTATTTCATGCATGGTCCACCTTCCATTAAAGAAACGTTTATAAATGGAAAATTACGTCGTAGAATGAAGTCGGAACTGAAATGAAACACAATGTCACCAAAATATATCTAGATACCAACTTCGTAAGATAAAAATCTTAGTCAAGGCACAGAATAAATAATAGTACAAGTCAAGGCAAATGTTTTAGGCCAAAAGCCATACATACACACGACACGGAAGACACTATAATTTAGTTGGATTGCGTTCAACAACTTCGAGGTTATTAATGCAGCGGTGTCGTAAATCGATGTACACATATTTTTTAGCAAACAGGTTGTTCGAAAGTTTTTTAGGTCGTATAAAACTTGATTATTCTCTTTAAAAAGAGGAAGATATTTTCAGCAGAAACCATGATAATAGATGATTT